CTTGTACACCACATATGTAAAACCAATCCTGGAGTATGCGGCCCCAGCATGGAGCCCGTACCTTGTCAAGCACAAGACGAAGCTGGAAAAAGTACAAATGTATGCCACTAGACTAGTGTTAGAACTAAGAGGCATGAGTTATGAGGAAAGGCTGCGGGAAATGCACCTTACGACACTGGAAGACAGAAGAGTAAAGGGAGACATGATCACTACCTACAAAATCCTCAGGGGGAATTAATAGGGTAGACAACGATAAACTATTCAACACTGGTGGGACGCGAACAAGGGGGCACAGGTGGAAACTGAGTACCCAAATGAGCCACAGAGACGTTAGAAAGAACTTTTTCAGTGTCAGAGTAGTTAACAGATTGAGTGCATTAGGCAGTGATGTGGTGGAGGCTGACGCCATATACAGTTTTAAATGCAGATATGATAGAGCCCAGTAGGCTCAGGAACCTGTACACCAGTTGATTGACAGTTGAGAGGCGGGACCAAAGAGCCAAAGCTCAACCCCCTGCAAGCACAAATAGGTGAGTGCACACCCAAACCTGTCTCCCTATCTCCCTGTCTCCGTAGTCTCCCTCCAAACCTGTCTCCCTATCTCCCTGTCTCCGTAGTCTCCCTCCAAACTCCGTATAAAGCTGGAAATGTCTTGAGGTTCTCTGCCCACATGTTTTTGTCGTGTTTTAAATTATGTTTTCCGGGTTTTGAGAAATTTGTGTAAGAAATTGTGATATATATATACTAGCTGTTCCCGGCCACGCGTTGCTGTGGTTCAGCGTTCCACAGCAACTCTCCCCTACCCCTCCCCCTCGTCCTCCCCACCATTCCCCACTCCCTCGTCCTCCCCACCATTCCCCACTCCCTCGTCCGATGCGTTCCCAAATGATCTGATGTTTCCATCAGAAAAATGGGAATATCAAATGATCTATGTTCCCATCACTGAAAAATATGAACAACAGTTAAAAAAACGAAATGAAAAACAATGAAACAATAAAAAAATAAACTATACTCATGAAATGAACGGTATGGTAAACAACACAGCTCAATTCCAAACGAATATCACACAAAATAATTAAATGAAAATGAAAATAAATCGAAATGTATGAAAATTATATTTATAAATGCAACCAGAAACACTGAAATGGAATCGTAACATATTAAGTATAGCGTGTGTTACTCTTACGTGCTGCTAGATAGCACTGTTTTTCAAAAAAGCATGTTTTTACCTGTCACAGGTGTGGCATCTATATAGTAGGTATATAAAAACACGCGCGTATTCGAATGGAACGTTGTGTCGTGTCTCAAAGCAACCGGTGAAGAACTTTCAGATATATATATATATATATATATATATATATATATATATATATATATATATATATATATATATATGCAGAATAACCACATATGAAAAATAGAAAATGCTTAACGCGTTTTCGGCTAATTCGCCTTCATCAGAGCAAAGTTGATTCAAACTTTGCTCTGATGAAGGCGAATTAGCCGAAAACGCGTTAAGCATTTTCTATTTTTCATATGTGGTTATTCTGCATACTTGGATCAGTGTTTTTGTGATCATTGTTGCATATAATATATATATATTATATTATATATATATATATATATATATATATCTATATATATATATCCCTATCACACCAACTGCGATCCCACCTCTTAACAAGCAGTGCTATCTGGCTTGTCAAGCTCAAGGGGGGTAAGATAGCAGGAGTTGAGGAGACGGCCAACTAGTCATTATAGGGAGGGGGGGGCAGGTAAGGCGGTCTTAATACCCCCCCCCCCTCCGTGAACACTCTATTACCGGCCACATCTGAGGTAACGAGCCTACCAGGCACTGACCTCTGGCCGTCTTGAAGACCTATCTCCTCCTCAGGGCAAAGAAAAATACCCACACACACAAAAAACTTTCGCGTCTGCTCCTATTTTCCCGAGCAATAAAAAGCAAATTGGAGGGTTTAAATCAGAGGAGCAAATGGGTAAATGGGGGTCTTGTAGTGTGTGTGTGTTGATGTTGGTGGGAGTAATGGGTGAGAGGGCATCAATTGTTGATGGCGTGTCATCACAGGCCATTACAAACTATTACAAAGTATTACAAACAATTCATCCCCCCTTGTAACGTGGTCTCTGTGATGACTCGCGGCTCTGTGTAAGTACACATGTTGAGGAACACAATGTAGGTACGTGAGTCATTGAACAATGTAAACAAACAAAAGGCGCGCGCACAGAGTTCGTCTTGAGTGGAAGTTGAGTCTTGAGTTAGTCTATATGACTATAGAGACGAACTATATTATATAGCCATGGAAGAATATATATATATATATATATATATATATATATATATATATATATATATATATATATATATATATATATATATATATATATATATATATATATATATATATATATATATATAATATATATATGTCGTACCTAGTAGCCAGAACGCACTTCTCAGCCTACTATGCATATCCCGATTTGCCTAATAAGCCATCCCCAAAATCCCACAAGCAATCCAGCTGGGATGGTCCCATTGTAGACCAAGTTGCTGCAGAGTGCCTGGGTGCTGCAAACAACACAACACGACATTGCTCGCCTCACAGCAGTAGCAGCACCACATGCAGGGGATTTCCTGTTAGCAACCCCAATGTCGGCAACTGGCACGCGTCTCACACCACACGCCCTCCGAATTGCTGTGGCCCTCCGCCTTGCTGCCCCAATCCACACCAGATATAGGTGTATTTGCGGCGAGGTGGTGGCTGACAGGTACGGTCACCATGGCCTACTCTGCCAAAGCACAGGGGGATGGCACTCGAGGCACAGTGAAGTTAACGACATCATCAAGAGGAGCCTCACCACAGCTGGATGCCAGCTGAAAGAGAGCCCCGTACCTAACGCCCGTAACTCTGATGCTCTTATTGGTCGCCCGGATGGTATCACAGTGAACCCCTGGAAGAATGGCAAGCAGTTGGTATGGGACTACACGTGCGTATCAACCCTGGCTAACACCTACATTAACCTCAGTGTTGCACAACCAGGTGGCGCTGCCACCCACAGGGAAGCAGCCAAATCCCGTAAATATAGAGAATGGATCACCACTACAATTTTGTCCCCATGCTTCTGAGACGCTCGGCGCCTGGGGTAAAAGTGCTACCAGTTTTTTGAAGGAACTGGGTTCTAGGCTCATTGAAACAACAAGGGACCCGAGAGCTGCAAGCTTTCTTTTCCAGCGCCTCAGTGTGGCGATACAGAGGGGAAATGCGCACTGCATCCAGGGTTCCTGCCCGCCATCTGAGGAGCTGGAGGAACTCGACAACCTATGACAACCATCTTTGTAACCCATATGTAACTCCTTTTTTGTAACAAAGTTCAAATAAAGTAAATATATATGTGTACATACAAAAGAATGGGGGTGGTAGGAGAAGATAATATTAGTGTTCAGTGAGAAACCACAAGGTCTCCTCTGAATACTTTTTATTTTCTTCTCCGAGGCTATGGGTCCCCACATTGGCACCAGAGGTGGTACCCTCACAAACTTTATATATATATATATATATTATATATATATATATATATATATATATATATATATATATATATATATATATAAATATATATATATATATATAATATATATATATATATATATATATATATATAATATATATATATATATATATATATATAAGGAGAGAGAGGAACATCTCCGAGGCGGGCGGTCAGTAGCCCGGAGCTCAGTATACATTTAAGGAGCAAAAGGTTACTGTAAACTGGTCTACGAAGTGAAAGTTTGTAATTAATACATATAAAGATTTTTTTGGCGCCATCTTGGGACGTCATACTTAATAATGGCTGACAATAAGCAGCCCCAAAAGGAGCACAGAGTTCAACAGCCACAGAAGCCGCACAGAGCCCAAGAGCCACAGAAGCCGCACAGAGCCCAAGAGCCACAGAAGCCGCACAGAGCCCAAGAGCCACAGAAGCCGCACAGAGCCTAGAGCCACAGAAGCCGCACAGAGCCCAAGAGCCACAGAAGCCGCACAGAGCCCAAGAGCCACAGAAGCCGCACACCACCAAACACACACTGAAACTACGACGTTGGTGCAACGTTCGAGCAAGTTTTAACACCTCCTAACCAGTTATAAACAACCAATATAGCAAGTTGTAACAACGTTCTAATACGTCATAAACACGTTAAGCCAAGATGTAACAACTTTATTTCAAGTTGTTACAAGCGGAAAATAGAGACAGTTTCGGTTTGTGTTTCCAGGGCAGAGCCCAAGAGCCACAGAAGCCGCACAGAGCCCAAGAGCCACAGAAGCCGCACAGAGCCCAAGAGCCACAGAAGCCGCACAGAGCCCAAGAGCCACAGAAGCCGCACAGAGCCCGAGAGCCACAGAAGCCGCACAGAGCCCGAGAGCCACAGAAGCCGCACAGAGCCCAAGAGCCACAGAGCCCAAGAGCCACAGAAGCCGCACAGAGCCCAAGAGCCACAGAAGCCGCACAGAGCCCAAGAGCCACAGAAGCCGCACAGAGCCCAAGAGCCACAGAAGCCGCACAGAGCCCAAGAGCCACAGAAGCCGCACAGAGCCCAAGAGCCACAGAAGCCGCACAGAGCCAAGAGCCACAGAAGCCGCATAGAGCCAAGAGCCACAGAAGCCACACAGAGCCCAAGAGCCACAGAAGCCGCACAGAGCCCGAGAGCCACAGAAGCCGCACAGAGCCCGAGAGCCACAGAGCCCAAGAGCCACAGAAGCCGCACAGAGCCCAAGAGCCACAGAAGCCACACAGAGCCCGAGAGCCACAGAGCTTAACTATATTATTAGTAAAAATGTAAGAGTTTGATAATAAGGTGTGTCTGTTCATCTCGGAGGCTGCGTCGGGATGCTGGTCACGCTGAGAGATGCTGGCAGATAATCTCCAACACGACCTCCAGTAAGGAGGAGGAGGTGGAGATGGAGGAAGAAAGAGAGGAGGAAGTAAGATAGATGATGAGACGAAGAAGGAAGAGGAACAACTAGGAAATTATTGAAGAAACAAAATAGCAAAGATAATGGTAGACATCCTATAATTGTTGGTCGAACTGGGTATACTGATTAGCTCTCAGGTTAGCTACTGCATCTACCTGTTGTTTAGTGTCTACCTGTCGCCCAGCGTCTACCTGTCATCTACCGGGTAGAGGGGGGAGGGGGGGGGGCGAGACAATATCAGCGCTCGCTGGATATCAATCATATTTATCAATCGTGATAATATAGTTGGATCAAATTTGGATCACATTTGTTGGATCAAAATACTGTCTAAATTAAACGTGACTTATCATTCACTCATCCTGTGAGTAGACACACCGCCATAGTGACAGTATTGGGCAGCGTCACTCATCCTGTGAGTGGACACACCGCCATAGTGACAGTATTGGGCAGCGCCACTCATCCTGTGAGTGGACACACCGCCATAGTGACAGTATTGGGCAGCGCCACTCATCCTGTGAGTGAACACACCGCCATAGTGACAGTATTGGGCAGCGTCACTCATCCTGTGAGTGGACACACCGCCATAGTGACAGTATTGGGCAGCGCCACTCATCCTGTGAGTGGACACACCGCCATAGTGACAGTATTGGGCATGCGTCACTCATCCTGTGAGTGGACACACCGCCATAGTGACAGTATTGGGCAGCGCCACTCATCCTGTGAGTGGACACACCGCCATAGTGACAGTATTGGGCAGCGCCACTCATCCTGTGAGTGGACACACCGCCATAGTGACAGTATTGGGCAGCGTCACTCATCCTGTGAGTGAACACACCGCCATAGTGACAGTATTGGGCAGCGCCACTCATCCTGTGAGTGGACACACCGCCATAGTGACAGTATTGGGCAGCGTCACTCATCCTGTGAGTGGACACACCGCCATAGTGACAGTATTGGGCAGCGCCACTCATCCTGTGAGTGGACACACCGCCATAGTGACAGTATTGGGCAGCGTCACTCATCCTGTGAGTGGACACACCGCCATAGTGACAGTATTGGGCAGCGTCACTCATCCTGTGAGTGGACACACCGCCATAGTGACAGTATTGGGCAGCGCCACTCATCCTGTGAGTGGACACACCACCATAGTGACAGTATTGGGCAGGGCCACTCATCCTGTGAGTGGACACACCACCATAGTGACAGTATTGGGCAGCGCCACTCATCCTGTGAGTGGACACACCGCCATAGTGACAGTATTGGGCAGCGCCACTCATCCTGTGAGTGGACACACCGCCATAGTGACAGTATTGGGCAGCGTTACTCATCCTGTGAGTGGACAAACCGCCATAGTGACAGTATTGGGCAGCGCCACTCATCCTGTGAGTGGACACACCGCCATAGTGACAGTATTGGGCAGCGTCACTCATCCTGGAGTGGACACACCGCCATAGTGACAGTATTGGGCAGCGCCACTCATCCTGTGAGTGGACACACCTCCATAGTGACAGTATTGGGCAGCGCCACTCATCCTGTGAGTGGACACACCGCCATAGTGACAGTATTGGGCAGCGCCACTCATCCTGTGAGTGGACACACCGCCATAGTGACAGTATTGGGCAGCGTCACTCATCCTGTGAGTGGACACAACCGCCATAGTGACAGTATTGGGCAGCGCCACTCATCCTGTGAGTGGACACACCGCCATAGTGACAGTATTGGGCAGCGCCACTCATCCTGTGAGTGGACACACCGCCATAGTGACAGTATTGGGCAGCGTCACTCATCCTGTGAGTGGACACACCGCCATAGAGACAGTATTGGGCAGCGTCACTCTCCTGTGAGTGGACACACCGCCATAGTGACAGTATTGGGCAGCACACACTCATCCTGTGAGTGGACACACCGCCATAGTGACAGTATTGGGCAGCGTCACTCATCCTGTGAGTGGACACACCGCCATAGTGACAGTATGGGCAGCGTCACTCATCCTGTGAGTGGACACACCGCCATAGTGACAGTATTGGGCAGCGCACTCATCCTGTGAGTGGACACAACGCCATAGTGACAGTATTGGGCAGCGTTACTCATCCTGTGAGTGGACACACCTCCATAGTGACAGTATTGGGCAGCGCCACTCATCCTGTGAGTGGACACACCGCCATAGTGACAGTATTGGGCAGCGCCACTCATCCTGTGAGTGGACACACCGCCATAGTGACAGTATTGGGCAGCGTCATCATCCTGTGAGTGGACACACCGCCATAGTGACAGTATTGGGCAGCGCCACTCATCCTGTGAGTGGACACACCGCCATAGTGACAGTATTGGGCAGCGCCACTCATCCTGTGAGTGGACACACCGCCATAGTGACAGTATTGGGCAGCGTCACTCATCCTGTGAGTGGACACACCGCCATAGTGACAGTATTGGGCAGCGTCACTCATCTGTGAGTGGACACACCGCCATAGTGACAGTATTGGGCAGCACCACTCATCCTGTGAGTGGACACACCGCCATAGTGACCGTATGGGCAGCGTCACTCATCCTGTGAGTGGACACACCGCCATAGTGACAGTATTGGGCAGCGTCACTCATCCTGTGAGTGGACACACCGCCATAGTGACAGTATTGGGCAGCGCCACTCATCCTGTGAGTGGACACACCGCCATAGTGACAGTATTGGGCAGCGTCACTCATCCTGTGAGTGGACACACCGCCATAGTGACAGTATTGGGCAGCGTCACTCATCCTGTGAGTGGACACACCGCCATAGTGACAGTATTGGGCAGCGCCACTCATCCTGTGAGTGGACACACCGCCATAGTGACAGTATTGGGCAGCGCCACTCATCCTGTGAGTGGACACACCGCCATAGTGACAGTATTGGGCAGCGCCACTCATCCTGTGAGTGGACACACCGCCATAGTGACAGTATTGGGCAGCGTCACTCATCCTGTGAGTGGACACACCACCATAGTGACAGTATTGGGCAGCGCCACTCATCCTGTGAGTGGACACACCGCCATAGTGACAGTATTGGGCAGCGCCACTCATCCTGTGAGTGGACACACCGCCATAGTGACAGTATTGGACAGCGCCACTCATCCTGTGAGTGGACACACCGCCATAGTGACAGTATTGGGCAGCGCCACTCATCCTGTGAGTGGACACACCGCCATAGTGACAGTATTGGGCAGCGTCACTCATCCTGTGAGTGGACACACCACCATAGTGACAGTATTGGGCAGCGTCACTCATCCTGTGAGTGGACACACCACCATAGTGACAGTATTGGGCAGCGTCACTCATCCTGTGAGTGGACACACCGCCATCGTGACAGTATTGGGCAGCGCCACTCATCCTGTGAGTGGACACACCGCCATAGTGACAGTATTGGGCAGCGTCACTCATCCTGTGAGTGGACACACCACCATAGTGACAGTATTGGGCAGCGCCACTCATCCTGTGAGTGGACACACCGCCATAGTGACAGTATTGGGCAGCGCCACTCATCCTGTGAGTGGACACACCACCATAGTGACAGTATTGGGCAGCGCCACTCATCCTGTGAGTGGACACACCGCCATAGTGACAGTATTGGGCAGCGTCACTCATCCTGTGAGTGGACACACCGCCATAGTGACAATATTGGGCAGCGTCACTCATCCTGTGAGTGGACACACCGCCATAGTGACAGTATTGGGCAGCGCCACTCATCCTGTGAGTGGACACACCGCCATAGTGACAGTATTGGGCAGCGCCACTCATCCGGTGAGTGGACACACCACCATAGTGACAGTATTGGGCAGCGCCACTCATCCTGTGAGTGGACACACCGCCATAGTGACAGTATTGGGCAGCGCCACTCATCCTGTGAGTGGACACACCGCCATAGTGACAGTATTGGGCAGCGCCACTCATCCTGTGAGTGAACACACCGCCAGAGTGACAGTATTGGGCAGCGCCACTCATCCTGTGAGTGAACACACCGCCAGAGTGACAGTATTGGGCAGCGCCACTCATCCTGTGAGTGGACACACCGCCATAGTGACAGTATTGGGCAGCGCCACTCATCCTGTGAGTGGACACACCGCCATAGTGACAGTATTGGGCAGCGCCACTCATCCTGTGAGTGGACACACCGCCAGAGTGACAGTATTGGGCAGCGCCACTCATCCTGTGAGTGGACACACCGCCAGAGTGACAGTATTGGGCAGCGTCACTCATCCTGTGAGTGAACACACCGCCAGAGTGACAGTATTGGGCAGCGCCACTCATCCTGTGAGTGGACACACCGCCAGAGTGACAGTATTGGGCAGCGCCACTCATCCTGTGAGTGGACACACCGCCATAGTGACAGTATTGGGCAGCGCCACTCATCCTGTGAGTGGACACACCGCCATAGTGACAGTATTGGGCAGCGCCACTCATCCTGTGAGTGGACACACCACCATAGTGACAGTATTGGGCAGCGCCACTCATCCTGTGAGTGGACACACCGCCATAGTGACAGTATTGGGCAGCGCCACTCATCCTGTGAGTGGACACACCGCCATAGTGACAGTATTGGGCAGCGCCACTCATCCTGTGAGTGGACACACCACCATAGTGACAGTATTGGGCAGCGCCACTCATCCTGTGAGTGGACACACCGCCAGAGTGACAGTATTGGGCAGCGCCACTCATCCTGTGAGTGGACACACCGCCAGAGTGACAGTATTGGGCAGCGCCACTCATCCTGTGAGTGGACACACCGCCATAGTGACAGTATTGGGCAGCGCCACTCATCCTGTGAGTGGACACACCGCCATAGTGACAGTATTGGGCAGCGTCACTCATCCTGTGAGTGGACACACCGCCATAGTGACAGTATTGGGCAGCGCCACTCATCCTGCGAGTGGACACACCGCCATAGTGACAGCGATATGGGCATATCTAGTCAAGGATAAGATGGAGGGTTATTATGGCCTATATCAACGTCTGGAGGGTTATTATGGCCTATATCA